AGGGAAGGGAAGGGAAGGGAAGGGAAGGGAAGGGAAGGGAAGGGAAGGGAAGGGAAGGGAAGGGAAGGGAAGGGAAAAAAAAAGTTCACTAGTTTGACATTCAGGACAATCGGCTTCGTAGTGGGAATTCCTCCACCTGTTTTTTGCAGTCACTTCTGAAGGCCATTTTTTAGTTTAAAACAGGTGCTTTTTGGTCCCTGACATCTAGAGGGACCTGTCCGAGAATGGACACGTTTGGTCTGTGTGACTCAGAAGGACGTCATGAGCGTCTTACCTGTGCTGAGTGGGATGAAATATGAGGGGTTTGTCTCCTTGGAAGTTTGCAGGAAAGCTATGCTCATATTTTAAAGGCACACAGTTATTTTCCAGTCAGAAATGTGCTCTATTTCAGTCCCCCTTTAGAGAGAGTATCTCCTGGTTTCTATTTTAACTGGGAAATGATGAAGTGCTAAATCACAGAGTGGAAAATGTGTTTATCAATATGTTCTTATGTCATTTTTCAGTGCAGAGCTCAAATTCAGTAGCAGCTATAAATTAAATGACCCAGAGAGGCAGGATAGGAGCAGAACAGGTATTTACATGCTGATCTTCAGATAATGTGTTCTATAAAGGCACAGAGCCCGCTCCCCTAAGGATATATCCTCCTCTTTCAATGTGCCGGTCTTCAAAGGAATGTTTTCTCTGGCAGCTCTGAATCCAGGTGCTACTGATCTGGCAAACTCACCCAGAATTGCTCATATTGACAGCAGCAGTTTGTCTAGGGAAAACAGAGTAAGCCTTTCTTTTTCCTCCTCCTTGAAAGCCTTGTCAGGAGGAAACAGTCCACTCTGCTTCACCTTTGCTGCAGAGCAGCTGTTTTGGTGAGTCCTTTTGTCCTCAGAAAGATGATTTTGTTTGTACCAAACTCTCAGTGTTCCCTACAGAGGTGAACAGCTGGTTTGTGGGTCACTTGGATGGAGAGGGAACGGATGGAGGTACTTGTGGTTCGGTGCAGGGAGGTGGCCTGTGGACATCCCCATGGGCACGGTCTCTGGTGAACCTAGAAGGAGGCAAGGGGAAGGATATGAACCAAGAATTAGCTTGTCCGAGGCCAAGAAATGGGAATCTGCAATAGGAGAAACCCATCCACCAAGCTGAGAGCAACGGAATGACAAGGAGGAGCTATGATGAACTGGCTTTGAGTCCGGTCATTAGTGACTTTGATGAAGGCTCTTGGTTAGAGAGGCAAAGGAGAAAGGGAGAACAGAGGGGAGGGACTGGAGAGAAAACAAAAAACTTGCAGTCCAGGTAGGATGGAGGAACTGGGGATCCAGCTGATTAAAAATACATCTATTTCACTGTCAGAAGGACATTCATTGAGTTCAGTAACTTGCAGCTGGTGCTCTGCAGCCTTCTACACAGTTTGTGAACTATTTCCAAAGGGCTAGGAAGGAAGCTAATCGAGAAAGGCAAGGGGAAGAGGAGGAAAGCGTCTTGAATTTATCCCATTTTCAACTACATCAAGTCTTTTAGAAAAATATATCATCATTCTTTTAAAGATTTCCAGAAGTGAAGAATTCCTCAGGGCTGCTGTAATGTTCTTCCAAGTTATTTACTCTCCAGATAGTTATCATGCATAAACACTTAAGAGAGCCGGGATGTTTCTGATGCAGAGGGTGTCTGTTGGCTACGTAGGCTGAGAGTGAGGGATGGTGTTTGAATTTGTCCTAGTTGTCTGTGGGGGCTTCCAGGTTTCCTCAGCTCAACTCTGAACTTTTTCCTTTATTTCTGGATATATTTAAGCCTGATATTATCATTAAAATGCCTTAATAAGTCTCTACTTCCTGAATTAGAAAATACTTTCATAAACAGAAAATTTAGGAAGTTGCCAGAAGCTGTAAAAATGTGAAATCCAAGAGGTTTCTTGAAAAGAGAGAAGAAATCAAAGCCAAATTACAAATCTTAGGAGAAGGTTTAAAAAGACCAGGTAGCGCATAGCTGGAGCCAACCTTGAATGGCCTATTTTATGAATGAGGGAATCCCATTTCCCAGTGGGATTTTAGCATACATAAATCAATGGCAACCCCCCCCCCCTTTTTTTTTTTTTTTTTAGGATCAGTTTCTCAAAAATATTTCCTTGGCCATGAGGTTTGAAAGAAGGAGATTTGTAGCAATAAGTAATCACAGAGAATGGGCAGGGCGTTCATGAGGTACAAAATTATTTGGCTGAAAATTTTGCATTGTTCCCAGAAGGAAATCTCATTCATTGAGCCAACTATTCATTGTAATTTGGCCTTCTTGGTGTGTGAATCATTTGTGAAACAACTGCATTAACTATTATTTTGGTGTAGCCATTATTTGCCGGTATTGTATTGGTTCCTATGTTACACTCTGCATCTGAGATTTCGAATAACAGAAGAGTAAACTCCCCATGAACAAGGAGACCTATTAAATATTTGGAGATATTTGCTGTTAAATGCTATCTTATATGACCAAATTATACTCAGTCCTGGCGTTTTCACGATTTAAAAACCACCAACAACAAATAAGTTGTATTTGAAATAGCTTGAATCTGAAAGCACGGTGGTTAAACCTGGAATGTTTTCAGATTTCTGAAGAGCATGGATCTGGGAAACTTTGCTGCTCTCTGTTTCCCCCTAGCTATTGCCTAAAGTAATGAGATTAGTCCAGCAAAGGAGCAATCAGTGTGATTACATACTGGCTGCAAAACACAGCAGAACCTGGAAGGAACTTTCTGCACCCCAGTAGCACAAATGTGCGTCATTATTTCTTCTGGTGTCCCTCAGAAAAGGAAAAGGAAGGAGAAAGCTGTGTATTGCACCCCAGACACATATATTTTGAAAGAGGATGATTGCATAACTTGGAGAAGAAAAAGAAGAAATATTGCAAAGAAAGAGTGACAGATAAAGGAAGGCAAAGTTTTGCAAACAACCTTATTCTAGGTGTGAGTGACAGTCACTATTTCTAGCTTCTAGCTGCAACCCTGCTCTAACGCTGCTGGGTGTATCCAGCATTTGCCCAGAGGATTCGGGATGTCTCTGGAATCCCTCCGTGGGCCTTTGCTAGGACATTTCCTTGAGCAGCACCTGTAGCAACACCTTGTTTTGTGTTGGTGGAGCTGTTCTAGTGCATCACCGGTGAGGTTGTGGCAGCACCTAGATAAAGAAGGGTATTAGTCCCACCCCAATTCTTTTCCCAGCACTATGGTGAAATTTCCTAGAGAACCCCTCGAGGAGAGTTGCACCACATCATTGCTTGCCATAGCAACCTCACTTGTTTGTCACTGGTTTTGACATACAGCAGTGATGGATCTCAGTGCATGGAGGGACTGAAACCAAAGGGCTAGAGAGAACAGGGCAGCTCTTGCTGCAAACCTTGGGCTAGATGCTCATCTCTGCTAAAGACACACATTCAAAATCCCTCTTTTGATTTGACTAGAGCTTAATAATGTGGGTTAATAAATCTGCACACTGAATTTTGCCCTTTCTGAATTCTTTATGCTGCTGTGTTGGATGGAGCTCAAGCCTGGAGGGGAATCACTTAGGCGCAGGTGAGATAGGAATGGGCTTGGCTGATTCCCTCTGACAGCTTTAGCTTTTTGTTAAAATGCCCTCAGTATGAATCATATTATCTAAATGCTGCCTCTTACAAGTGTTTCTGGTAAAATCCTGGGCCTGTTAATCTACTTTAAACTCCCATGTCATTTTCATATGCATTAAACAACTTGGCTCTTTCTGCTGCGGTTGGTCATGGTCTCATTTTCCTTATGATTAAACTGCCACCACCCACCCAAAGCTCACACAGATCATATCATGCTTTAGCAGGGCTTTTAATAGCCCAGGACCTCCTATTGGAAAGCCTGGAAGTGCTTAGGGGGAAGCCTGGAAGTGCTTGCCCCTAAGCACTGGTCAAGGAAAGAGTGAAAATAGGAGAAGGAGCCTGTCAGGAAATGGTCACTGCCCAGGACATCAGCTTCAGGGCTTTTTGGAAACAAAACCTTAAAAGTACAAGGTCATAAGCTCTCCCTACAGTGTATTGTAGGGGGAATAAACAGTCAATTATCCTGCCTTATGACTACTGGAAGGTGGCAGGGAATTCCCTCTGCTTAGCTGACGGGACGTTTGGTACTCGCCTTATGCCCAACCTTTGTTTCCTTTTCTTTTCTTTGCAAGGATTATGAGTACCCTCTTCATTCTCACAGTGCCCACTACCAGAAGAACGACCGCTGCCCGCCGCCACCCCAGACCTTGCCCGAGAGAGCCTGTGAGGTGCCCAGCTGCCGCTCGGACTCGGAGTGCGAGAGGCACAAGCGCTGCTGCTACAACGGCTGCATCTACGCCTGCCTGGAGTCTGTGCAGCCACCGCCAGGTAGGGGGGACCTGGAGATCCACCTGCCATAGGGAGGAACACCAAGAGACATGTAGGAATCAGGGCAACCAGTCCCCATGGGCATCTGGTCTCAGTTAGGACGTGTTTCGGGGGTGAGGATGGAAGTTGAGCTGTGTAAGCTCTGATTTCCTGGAGCTGTGATTAGTCTTGGGTCCTTGACTTGAGGGTGAAACTTGTCTAAGATCAGTGGGTACTACAAAATTTGGTTTAAGTCTATGGTGCCAGCTCTTTTCTGGGAGTATATTCAGGTAAAGAACCTCCGACCTGAGGAAGGACTCATTGAAACTGGGCAGCTACAACCATCTCATCTCATCCATACCTTGTGAAAAGAGGATGAGAAGCAACAGTTTCTCTGGCTGTTATGACCAGGCCTTGGGGCCCTGCGTGACACCCATGTTATTGCACCACTGGGACAATGGGAACATGGATATAAACACCTTGGTACAAAACTGCCAGCCAAATCTGCCCTACAGGAGTATGGCAGCCTCATCACTGGCTGTTAGAGAAAAAACAGTGACTTTTTAATAACTCTGTGTTCTAGGGACGATTCTTCTTGACTGTGTTTTGCTTGTTTGTGTCTGTTGCAGTTTTAGACTGGCTGGTTCAGCCCAAACCCCGCTGGCTGGGAGGAAATGGGTGGCTTTTGGATGGCCCTGAGGAGGTCTTACAAGGTACGGTACATTTGACCAAGTGTCTCCTCTGCAATATGAGTAATTGAACACTGTTGCACCAAAGCCATTAGTTTGGAAAGTAATATATTCGTCACATAGAGGCTTGACAGGGATGTTTGGGGCTACTGGTTTTTGCCTGGATTTTCAATTATCCCTGTGTGGTGGAAGAGGGCACAAAATGCACACATGGAGGAAAGTCTGGAGACCACCAAGCGCTAGGAATAGTCCACAGCACTGAATTTTTATCCATTTTTGAAATCAGTAGAAATATCTATGTTTTTTAGAAGTAAACTTTGTCAACATACATAGATTTTCTGCCAGCTCCCTAATAGATGGCAGGCAGACTTGCAAAGAGGAAGGAAGAGGCAGAGATACATGCAGACATAGTCAAGCAGTTGGAATGGAAAGTGAGCCAATTGCTCAATAAAGACAGGAAAAGCAACAGGCCACGTGGCAGCAGGGTTTGGGCACATCAGCAATGCGGAGGTGATGGCAGAGCTTTCAAAGTGACCGTCATGTTGCAGCTAAACTCGAAGGGCTTGACTGTTTCACCTGAAAACCTCCAGAGCACAGGTAAAACTCAGCTCTTCTGCCCTTCTTTCAGATGCATAAATAGCAGCTGGCAGTGCATGAATTTTTGATTCATGTCAGAGGAATTTATGAGCTGGGGAAGGATTGCAAATATCTGACGCTACCCTCAAGAGCAGGATGCCAGGCAGAGGAGCTGCAGGCGCCCTTCATGCAGGAGGGGAACAACACCTGGGAGAGACTTCCCCTCTAAGTACATAATTATATGTACAAAAAAAAAAAAAAAAAAAAAGAAAAGAAATCTGAAGATCTCAGGCAGAATCTTGTCCCTAGGAGTTCAACAGGGAGATCCAGAACACATTACCTCTCCACGTGCCACAGTTTCCCCATAAACAAAAAGGGACAGAATTATACTCTCCTCTTTTGTAAAGGTTTTGAATTCTGATAATGAAAAAATCCTCTAAGAGTTACAGTATTCCTGGCCAGGATTTCTCTAACATCCAATCTTATTCAGTAGTACCAAACTCACTTAGTTCTTATCTGCTGTGGAAATTCCTAGTTGTTCAAGAGAAAATTCATCCTCCAGCTCACGGGAGTCGGACTGACAGATAAGGCCGGTCCCTTCTCACCCATTCCTGTCATGTTTATACTATTTGATCTCATTTTATCATCTTTAGCACAGCTCAATGGAGCAGTTAGTGGAAGAAGAACCATCAGCCATGGCATCAGACTTGCAGCTGGAGTCCTCAAAATTAAAATCCCAGCAAAGGAAGGGGAGGAAATCTCTGCGTAGTGTCTATATTTAATATACACAGATACACAGCCATGAGTCCTGCTCTATTTTCTCAATGGGCTCCACAGTTGCCAGAGACCAGGGGTCAAGGTGATCAGTGCCTGTGTTTGTAGCAAGGGTGGCACTGCCTTACCCCACCATGAGTCACATCCAGAGTTTAGATTCATCCGGGAACAAATGGGTGTGGAGCAAAAAACAAAGCAGTAAAGTCCGTTTTCCTGGTGGGTTTTCCCTGATTCCTCTCCCAGCCCTAAACACTAGTTGCAAGAGATTTGCAGCTGCTGTCATCTGAGGGAATCCCAGCTTGGAGGGAGTACCTGTGAGGGAGAATATGGTGGGCAGAAGACATGAGTCTTCACTGCTCTCCAGTCCTCATTCAGACCCTGCACAAATACACTAGCAAGGGTGGCATAATTAACACTCCCCACACTGGGGCAGACAGGGCCTTTTGTGTGTCAGGGGTGAATTGGCGCTGCCAGGCTTCTTTGGATGTGCCAGCTCTTTGGTATCCCTGCTTGGAAAGGAGCCTGAGACCTTCTCCGGGAGGAGATGCAGAAGGGGATGGCCACATTGGTGTGTTGGGGCTGGTAACGCTGAGGTGTGTGACCTGCTTTTCCAGCTGAGGCCTGCAGCACCACTGAGGATGGCGACGAGCCTCTGCATTGCCCCACGGGATACGAGTGCCACATCATCAACCCTGGCAACACCGCCGAGGGAATCCCTAACAGAGGCCAGTGTATCAAGCTGCGTGGAAATCCAGGTCAGAGGCCTGCAAATCACCCTTCTTTTTGTTCGTTCTGTCGTGCAAACGTGGTAAGATGTGACTCATAGGCTCTAAGGCAGACCTGGTGGGCACTGCATGAATGCCAGGGCAAAAAGCTACCTCGCTTGGCTGAAGTCTCTGATGCCCTTGGCAGTAGCTGGGCTATGGGAACAACCCAAGGAGGGAGACACCACACATGTTTGTCCCTTCTGCAACAGTGCAGGTAGAGCGGGTAGTGACCTGCATGTCCCTTTATTTAGCTGCACGATAAATGGAAATATTTATAATATCATTGCACACTTCCTTAAGCAGTGATAAGTCTCAAATTCCAGTTCTGCTTTCAGACCTGGGTTAGTACCTCCAAAACATTATTCCCTTTTTTTTTCTATAAACATATTTTCCCGATAAAGGAGCTCCTTTTGGCCAAGTATTTTCCAGGATGGTTTAAATAAGTCCATAATAAGTAACGGAATGTATATCCGTATAGGTGTTTTTCGAGCTCCAGGCATTTCTGAGAATTTAAATAGCAGTATAAATGCTGAACAGAAAAGACTTAAATGGAGCTTGAACTTTACAGAGCACTATTAGATGGTCTGATGTTGTGCAGAAGTTTTCTTAAATTTGAGAAAATCAGTGATTCCTTAACTGATAACTCCCAAAAAGGACATAAGCATCTAGTGATCAGCAATTAACCACTCTCAAGAGATTGAACCATGACTGCATAGTTCAAGGATATAAACAGATTTGTAAGACATTTATAGCATCCCTAGATGTCTATGTAGCTACAGAGATCCTCTGTTTTCCTACTGGAGGAGGTTATTCCCGTATCTATAACTTTGCTGTGCACAATGTTTAACACACACAGTGAAGGCTGACTGGTGTGATATGTTCTCATTATGTTCCTTTTTTTTCAGATGGACGTAACCTGAGGCATAAGTATTACAAGGAGTATTTTGGTAAGCTGGTGGCATGAAGTGTTTACTGTCGCTAAGCTTTACAGTGTTTGCATTGCTCAAAGGGAATTTGCTGCTTATGAAATGAAGGTCTATGCATAGCAAAAGAGGTTCTCTAATCTCAGCTTTCCATCATCTTATTCTTACGAAGTGCATGGACTCTTGGTGACAGATATCGTCAGCTGTGACACACTGCATTATAACTATAATGCCATGGGGTTATTTTTAAGTGCAATTTTGGAGAACACAGAACTCAGTCAGGACAGAGTCTCCTACCAAGAGCTTGCTCTGAGTATTGGGATGAGGGTAAAAGAAGTCCAGAGCCCATTGAGTTGATCCCTAGCTGTTATCTACCATCACATCAGACGTCAGGTCCCTCCACGAATGTTAGATCCAGCTTCTAGTAGGACCATCTTCCAGAATCTCTCATCTCTGATGGCTCGGAAGCTCCTGATTTCCAATTTAAATGTATTCATGGCTGATTTCTGAATTGAAAATACGGAGGAGAGAAAACACATGGGTGTAGACACCGGGAACAGTCTTGCTCATCAGAAATGGATCAGTCTTGGCACATCAGCAGCCTCTCATTTTTTATTGAAAGCACCATATCAACAGAGATTGAAGGAGAGGAAGAATAGGAAATGCCTGTGTAAATATTCATACAGGAGGAAGCTGCTGGTGCAAAGGGAGAGAAACTACAAAGTACTTTCTGGTGAAAGCAAATAACCCAGTGAGTCACTGCGTCTAATCAGAGTTGTCTCAAGGTCTTGGGAAGGTGGAAGTGCCAGTGCCTCCTTTTCTCCTTCCACCCACAGATTTTGACACAAATGCAAAATCTAATTCTGCTGGGATTTGTTTTGCAGGGGGCAGTTCCAACAACGTGGTCGGCTACATGAAAAATCAGCAGAAGCATCTGGGCTAATCCAAGGTGCTCCCAGGTAAGTGCCCTGAGAATAACAGGACATTCAGGTGAAAAAAGCTGGTGCTGAGGATGCAATTATTTAAATAAATAGTTGTTTGAGTTGAAATTACCTCTAATCACTGAGCTAGCTTAGGGACAGCACCTTACAGCTATGCAGGTGACAGGAGTCTCAGGATCCTTGGCATTGCAGACTGCCCAGGGACAAGTCTATGTCTTTCCCGTCTTTCCTCCTTTCAATTTCATTTTCATTTTATAAGATGCGCCTGATTACTTTGGAAAACCCTGGCCTTTGAGTCCTTAGAGAACGGAATGATTTTCAAGATGAAAAATAAATGCTGCAAAACTTTGTGAGCATCACAATTTAGGGAAGAAGAAACTCATTTAAATGGAGATTATCATATTTAGCATGTCAGGTGGGCTTTGGAATTTTTAGTATGTTTTATTTAATTCTCAGATGGCATGTCTAGGATTCTATTCCAAAGCAGGTACCTGCATTAAGTACCAAAAAAGAAAAAAAAAAAAAGAAAATTAGGTAAAAAAACTCATTTCAATAGCATTCCTATAAATGCTTAAGCATAAGAGTGGCTTCATGTGGTAGCTTTATGTGTGTCAACATCTTCACTGAACAGTGTGACCCACTCCTGTGCATAAATGTAGTTGTATCTGGCCAGACCAAAGCCAAGAGCTCCATTGATTTTATCAGGCTTTGAATTAGGCAAGAGTGAAAATATTTGCTATAGCAAAGATTCTGCCCTAAGATGGTTTTCTCAACCTTTCAAGCTCCACTCTAAAACCAACTGGAGCTTGGCTGGCAGGCACTAAACCAGAGCACGTCCTCCTTGTGCTTACGTCAGGACTGCTGTTAAGATTGCATGGCTGCGTAAGGACAAGCTCTGTGCAAACATCACAGGAAAGGTAAATATTTTAATTCTTTCTTTTGTTTTTCATCCAGCTGGACCACTCTGCTAAGCAGCTTTCAAGGAATGATTTACCCTCTAGTTGTCTGTTTTGGAAGGATGCCAGTCCTGAGTCTCCAAGAGCACATCTCCAGCATTGCCCTGTCCCTGCCCACCGATGCCAAAAGTACTTCACTGTGCAAGCAAAAACGTGAATCTAGATTTTAAGCCTATTGATGGAGGGAGAAATGTGATGCCCTGAAAAAATCCTCCCCACTTATTAGCTGCCCTTCTGCAGGTGAAGTGTGAGCAGTGTTGCGCTGCTCTTTGCAAGCCCTTGATATGGCTTGAGGGCCGGCAAAGAGGTGGCCAATTTCCCTATCCCAAATGTTATTTGGTAGTATAAAAAGGGATGAAGTGGTCTCAAAAACAGACCTATTACATTTAAGTTATACTAAATAATTAAGATTATAGCAGTGAAAGGGCTCCCTGGGTCAAATCCAGTCCCTGCCTTTCTCAAGCAACTGTTTCACCTAATCCTGCAGGTTTCTTCTTATTTTGGAGGTTTCTGTCTGAGATTCAGCTGATTCACACCCACATGGCAAGTTTAATATATAAAGAGTTGAGAAAGTCTGAGTTTGGAGCAAAACAAATTCTATCCTGGGTTTATCGAGTTGCCTTACTTAAATTCCCCTCTCTGGTGAGCTGTAGATCAAAGCTAATGATGGAATAGATTTCTTCCTACAACATCTAATCAGTTTGAGGCACAGACATGCCAGCCTTTTTAAGTTGCTATTTTTAGCCAGTTCAGTTTGTACTCGCCAAGTATACATCTGTATTTTTGTACCTGCAAAACCTCAACGGGAGGACTGAAGGCTGGGTATGTATTGTGAATGTTAGGAGAGCCAAAGCATGACAAAAATGTGTGATTAAAAAGATTGTCGGGCAGAAGGGCAGCTGCTCTATAGAAGAATATTATGTTCACTTCTATAAATCTTTAAGGATAAGTTATTTGTATTTGAACCTTGCAGCCTTTTTTAAAAAATACTTAGCTTTATAAAATGGAAAACATTATTTCTGTGCATGTTTTCCTTCCCTATGGCAGCTCCCTAAAGGGACAGCAGCGGTTTGTTTGGATGGATCTGCCAGAATCAGTATGTAAAAGAAGTCATTTTTGCTCCCTTGTTTAGCACATGTCCCCATTTGCAGTCATAAAATTATCATTTTTATGTAGAGGGCAGCAGTGGCACACGTATATACCCAATTCACACCTACAGGCACTTGCTTTCACCCACAAACTACAAGTTCTTTTCCATTCACCAAGCAGTTTAAGTCCAAAGGTGCCTCTGAAAAACTCGATCCGTTGCATATGGCATTTGCAGCTGGCGAGATAAAAGCTGCCAAACTGCTTTGGCTGTTGCCCTGCACACACAGACACATTCCTCAGTGCTTTACAGTGCAAAGGAACAAGCCGAGGGCTCCACCTTCCCCTGAATACCTCCATCCATTAAATTCCCTGCATTTCACTGTGCTTTCTTCCAAGTTCTAGCTAAGTGCAACGTCATATTTGCACAGGCCTCTTTCTAGAATATTATCATATACAACTTATCACAGTGATTTCTTAATTCCTGCTAAAAACGCAGGAGCCCATATTTCATAGTCTCAGTCTTAGTTGAGACCAGGAATTTGCCTTTTTCGGACTGACACTACTTGATGTCTTAAAACACTTCAGCTTGTAGCCAAAAATACAAGTCTTGCACCCAGATGCTGCTCAGTGAAACAGCTTGGGGTTTTTTCAGCATTTTTTTTTTCAGAAAAGTCAGATTCTGAATTTCTGTTTACTGGACATCACCCTTCCCAGTGGTGCTATAATGTTTGTTTGTTTGTTTTTTTCTCTTCACATTCCTGTTAATATCCAAACTGAGAAACAAAGCCTGCAGAAGAAATACATGTAAATGATGTGTTTTCAGCCTTGAAGTCTGCCACACTTCAGGAAAAAAAGCAGACCCAGTGAATTTTCCTGATCTTATTTTCTCCAAACAAAGTGGCTGAATATCAACCTTATGAAGCACAGTAAGAAATCACAAATGTAGAGTTGTAGGGCTTCTTTTTACTGTTTCTATGTACATTTTACAGCATGTTTGGTGCTAGGGTAACCTCTCCACGCAGGGTGCTAGCGATGCTCTGTGCACGTGCTCTCCAGACACGCACGTTCTGCAAATTTGGTGCTCAATAAAAAGTGTCCAGTTTATTTTTCAACTATGTCCAGTCTCAGTTGTGTATTCTTGGCATAAGCCTGGCTTAAAATTATATAAAATAACTGTGTGAGATGTGGTCCTGCTGAGCACCAAGCACCTCGGTGCAGGTGACACTTTGCCCTGACAGCAGCTATTGATAGTAGGGCTGGTGCAATAAGGTTCCCTGGGGCACAGGAGGCTGCTTCTTGTATCACACTTTATTTTCACGCAGCAGACACCACACTGCTCTAAGAGCATCCATGAACTCAGAAAAGGAAATGTCCTCCAAGTAGGAATTATCTCTCAGCTGGGTTAATTCAGTTCAATTTGGGTCAAGGTGTCAAATATAATGTAGAACAGCTGGTGGCCCCAGGAGACAACATGGGCCATTACGGCTGCCCTTGGATCTTGTGCAGCTACTAGATCACGAGGATGACAATGTCCTTTAGCAACAGTGATTGTTTCCTCTTCCCTGCAAAAGGCCCAAATGAGTAGAAAATGTTGGCGCTTCAGCCTGGAAAATGTTATTGCTCTTGAAGTAACTTTTTGGACTGTAACCAGGAGTCATCGCTGGGGAGCTGTGCTGAAACTCCAGAGGGCAGCTGCAAATCTGCAGAACTTGCAGGTATGAGGGGGAAAAAAAATCCAAAAACAAAGAAACAAAAAAAAAGACCCTGTACGTTGAGCTGTCTTATTTAGAGGTGCATGATTAAGAATTGTGTTTGTTGCATTGGGAAAGCTGTCCCATGGCCAGCAGAGAAGACACCTGTGAGGCTGAGAAGAGCATAGCAGTGTCCCTGGAGACTGGTGGTTTCTTTGCCCACTTGCTGTAGATAGAATTTGTTCATCTTTGTGGAGGTTAACTCCTTTGCACTGTGCACTCGGGTTAGGATTTTCCCTGGAAATGCTGCCAGGGTTGCAGCTACTGCCCATGGCAAATGCAGCATCAGAAGTGGCTCCTCCAGCCAAAACTCTCCCTGTTCCCATTGCCCTGCAGGCAGAGGAGCCCTGGGAGGGGAATCTGGACCTGGAGATGCCAGAGGGCAGGATCGCTCACCTGGGACATCCCACCAGGGAGTTTCCCGGTGAATTCCTTGTGGTGGGTGTCTTCCACAGCAGGGGCACAACCTGTGTATGACCCTAGAATGTGGGAATTGCAGCAAATTCAGCAAATTCTGCCCATGCACTGGGGTTTTTTTCCCTCAAGGTGGCACAAGAGGAGCAGAAGTGTAACAACTCCTGGCTATGGGGAAGGAATTGGGTGCCAGAAACCCCTGTGAGGCACCAGTGTTGTGTATCAATGGCTGTTTTAGCTGTTATTAAATAATTATATTAAAATAGCTGCTTTAATTAATAAGCAGTCTTTTTTCTAAATAACCTACTTGGAATTGGAGTCTGGCCCTGCCCTTTGTTATTCAGCCAGTGATGATGGTTTAAGGACAGGTATTTTGCAGCCCTGGATGGTCTGCTCCTGACGCTAAATAACTAGGGAATTAGTAATGTGGGGGGAAATAGTTTATGTTTAAAATGCCGGCATTTCTGCAGTGGGTTAAGCAGGAAATACTATCAAATTACTGGATATGCTGTGTTACATCTTTACTAGCGTGAAGATTATACAGGTTGTGCCAGCATGAAGAAATACCGGTTGCATTAGAACCACTTTCTTAACATTATCCTCCTCATGCAATCCCAGCATTTGCTGAGCTATGAGATGGACAAACGCTTGAATCATCCGTAGGATTTTCCAAGAGCCAGAGATCAGAGGCAGCCAGAAAATGTAACTCCATCCCGTGCACAATCCTGTAGGATGCCTGGTGAGTGTTCAGCAAGATCCACGTTTTTCACCACTTTTCCATCAGGAAAACACGTGGGCCTCATCTCAGCCTGCTCGGATGAATGGGAGAAGCTCTTCCCATGCCAGGCTGTGCCCGGGAGCGAGTGGAGGTTTCACCACCGAGTGCCCACGGGATTCGAGAAGCTCCAAGTTGCTCCTGAGCTCCGGGTGCAGCCGCAGCCCTTGCTTCACCCCGGCTGGGCAAGTCGGAACGTTGTCCTCTGGCACCTTCCCGTGGGAAGGAGCCTTGCAGCTGCCCGGGAACGTCTGCATCCTGCTGGAGCAGGAAGGGAAGGACATGAGGGAGAAGGTGGCTGCAACTCTGCTTCCCCCAGCAGCGGGATGTAACCTCCAGGAGGGATGCTCACGTTTAACTTCTGCACCTGCGTGCTAAAATCCATGGGGAAACCGTCCCCCTGCAGCAGAGGGGAGTGAACCTGTGCAGGGCTCCCGGGCTGCAAGTCCCCGAGCAGGCAGGGCGGCCGCCGGAGAGGTGGCACCGGCGACGCTCCTCCTGCCCGCCGGGAGGGCGGAGGGAAGCGCCCGGCTATATGAGCGTGGGCGTCGGGGCCGCGGCGCGCCATGCCGGCACGGGGCCTCCTCGCCCGCCTGGCGCTGGGCCCCGCGCCCGGCGCCTACCGGCCCCTGCGCAGCGCCGAGGAGGACGAAGAGGAGGAGGTGAGGACTCCCGAGCTGGCTCGTGTGCCGGGGCTGCCCTCTCCGGGTGGCAGTGGCAGGACGGGTGGCTCTGGGCATGTGGCAGCGTGAGGGACGCGCGAGCCTGGGCGCACGGTGACCCCAGGGGTGCCCGCGGCGGCCGGTCCCGTCCCTGTGCCCCTCCTCGCTGTCACTATTAGTGTCACAGCTCGTAGCGAGTGATCCCAAACGGGCTTTGCAGCAGCTCTCAGCAGGGACCGCTGGAGACCACCTGCTTTCCTCGGGCACGGCTCATGTGAGAATGTGGATTTTTATTGATTTACTTGTTTTTCTCCCCTCCTGTCACTTCTTCCTCCCACGTCGCAGCTGGGCCAGGTGACCTCCCACATTACCTGTTCATCCTTCAGCGCATAGGGCTCATCCCTATCGCCATCCCAAGGGTACCATCCACACTCCGGCAGCATCCTGCTGCGTCCCGTATCCCGTAAGCGCCTCCGCTCTTTCCCCATGCCGCCTTTCTGACCTTGCCTAGCTGGGAAGTCACAGGCACTTGGCCTGTTCTTTGGCAATACAGTGTTTATTGCCCCGTCATATTTCATGTTTACATCCGAATCTGCAGCCTCATGGAGTCCGAGCTCTGGTCTGCACGGAGCATTTTGTGTTTCTGGCCTGCCAGGAAAATGCCCAGAGCTCTTGCTGCAGACCTCAGAAGTAGAAAGCAACATGAAGCAATGGGAATATTCGGTGGGAAATGTCCTTCTGAGGCAAAGGCAATGTCGCCTGTCAGTGCAAGCTTGTGAGGATGCAAAGACAGCTCCAAAATGACCGGAATCCAAAGCCTGTATGGATATAGATTCACCTACAGAAGAGATGTTTAATGGAGAGACAGGTGAGGAGCACCCAGATGGCTCCCGTCTGTGTATCCCGCTGCCCAGGACGTGGTGCGTTAACATCCTCCGTGGCTTTGCAATATCCACCGTGCAAGTGAGCGGGAAGAGGCCGGTGCTGGGGAGGAGAATGAAGATGAGAAGCTCCTGGGGGAGTGGAGCTGCTGCAGGTGCCACCACGCTGGTCTGGAGGCCCAAGTGACAACAGTGGTGACCCCAGTGCACGGCACAAGCCCTTCATGCTGGGATGTGGCTCCTTCTCCTGCAGGAAAGCTGGAAGCACCTCTAACGCCTCAGAAGAGGCTGGAAAAGACCTCGTCACCTGGATTTGCCTCTATCACCCGGGGCCCTCTTAGCATTTCTCTCTGCTAAGGTTTAGCTTTAGGGAAGGTCTGGGCCCTAGTCCAGACAGAGGGTCTTGGGAAGGTGAGGACAGCCTGGTTCCCACCCAGGTGACGGACCAGGGCTGAGGACCGGCGTGTGTTTTAGCAGCCGTGCAGGATGTGTAAGAACAGGCTTTCTGTTCAGGGCTTTAAAGGGCTGCTGGAGCTGAACAGCCCAGGCCACTCTTGCCTGGATTACAACATATTAATCAGTTTGAAGTGATCTAAAACGGAGGGAAAAAATACGCCAAATCTCGGGGGAGGCTGTGGAGCGGAGATCCCCAGCGCTGCCGCTCGCGGCTCCTCACCAGAACACACAGCTGGCACTGGGCTCTGCAGAGATCCCTATGGATTCACTCCTTCCACCGGGGCCGCTCCGACGCCGGCGGATCCAGGCTGGGCTCTCCAGAGGGGGCAGATCCCGCAGGCGGCAGTGGATCAATACAGACGGATTCCCAGGACGCCCGGCTCCGTTTCCCGGCAGCACAGGCTCCGCTGCCGCCTCGGGGATGGAGCCGTGTCGAGCTGGTCCCCACGTGGGGCCTCCGCTCCTTCCCGCGCCACCCAGCGCCGAGCGGCCCCGGGGACCCCCGGCTCCCGCCCGAACCCCCTGCGCAGTTTGGGGCGAATCCCCAAGCTATTGGCAAGGCAGGTGGCCCTGGCTTTTATAACCACTCCTGCACAAGCCAGCAAGGAAAAAGCAGGCACCAAGTGCCCCTGTTAGAGCCTTGGAGCTTGTGCTGGCTTTGCCCCTCTTGCAGGTTTAAGCCCATTATGTTTTTAATGGGGAAGAACAGGTTTTCCTCGTTCCAGGCGAGATGTTGGCAGGGCAAAGCCCTTATCTGCGCAGGGCACCTGCGGGCACCCCCAGCTCCTCCTCGCGCGGCACTGGGTTTGTTTGTGTTGCTGGAACCCGGCTCCTCGCGCCGCTTCCCGCGAACCCGGAGCGGAGCGAGGGAGATCCCAGCTCCACTTTTCCCCGGAG